TGAAATCATCATTTAAGGTGATCACTGCATCACTGTAGGTACCAGTATTGAATACACACACACACACACACATATCCTGGATCTTTTAAGCATCTATATTAATTTTAAATTTGTTTTTTCTAGTTTTGTTAGGAATGAAATTAGAATTTTGATTGGGATTGTATTGAGTCTGTATGTTGCTTTTGAAGAACAGTCACTTTCATAATCTTAATTCTTCCAGTTCATGAGCATGGAAGAGCTTTCCTATATCTGAGTGTTTCGCTTATCTTTTTCTTCAGTGTGTTAAAGCTGTCATTATAGTGATCTTTTGCTTCTTCGGTTAGGTTTGCTGCAAGGCAGTTTTAAAGCTGTTGTGAATGGTACTGCTTCACTGACTCCTTCCTCAATGTTTGTAGTTAGTGTAGGAAGGCCACTGATTTTCTAAGAGTTTTCTGATTCTTTAGGCTCTATTCTGTATATATAAAATCATATCACCTTCAAATAAGTGTATTTTAACTTCTTTCCTGTTTATATTTTATTTTCCTTATTCGTCTTATTGTTCTAGCTAAGACACCGAGTACTGTGTTGAATAGAGTGGAGAGTGGTCACCTTTACCTTGTTCCTGATCTTAGTGACATTTCTTTGAGTGTTCCTCCATCTTTCATGGTGTTGGGAACAGACTCTTCCTATATAGCACTTACTGCATTGAGGTAAGTTCCTCACATATCTAATCTACTCAGAGTTTCTATCATAAAGGATCATTGGAAAGAGATTTCTGTCCTTTAGCTGAGTTATGTGATTTATTACATTTATTGGTTTGTGAATGTTAAATCACCTGAGTTCTTAGAATGAAACTGATTTAATCACGGTGAATTTCACTGCTTATGTGTTATTAAATTTTTTAAAAAAAGTTTTATTGTGATTCTTTAAATGCCTTTGTTCATAGGCAGATTGGTGTGTAGTGTGTGTGTGTGTTTATCTGGTTTTGTTATCAGAGTAATATGGGCTTTGTAAGTGGAGTTTAGAAACATTATTTCTTTAATTTGTTTTGTGGAATAATTTGAGAAAGATTGATGTTTAGTCTTTAAAGTTCTGGTATAGCCCTCGGTATGCCATCTGGACTTGGACAGATTTTGGTTGGTGTGCTGTTATTACTGCGTCTGCCTCATCAGCTGTAGTAGGTTTCTATAAAATGGTTTGTGTCATCTTAGCTTAACTTTCATAGGCCTTAAGTGTTTAGAAATATGTTCATTTATTTTCATAATTTCAAGTTATAAGATTATAAGTTTCCAAGATATGTTCTTATGTTTTTTTGAATTTTATTGGAACTGTGATAATCTCCCCCGTTTCATCTGTAATTCAGTTTCATTAATTTCTTTTCTCACCTTAAGTGTTCTTTTCTCACCTTAAGTAATACACTACTTTGGGAGTCTGACTTACTCTCAATTTCCTAAGTCTCTAACTTCTCCCTTAGAACTGCTTTCATTGCATTCCATAAGTTTTGGTATATCGTTCAATGAATGTTTATCTCACTCTTGGAATTTTAAAATTTCCTTCTTGATTTCTTCAGTGACCTATTTTTCCTCTAACAGTTGGTTGTTTAATCTCCATGAAGTCTTGCGATTCCTGTAGTTTCTCTTACTATTGATTTCTAGTTTTATTCCATGGTGACCAGATAGAAGAGAAGTTATTTCAAATGTTATAAGTTTTTGAAACTTACTTTACATTCTACTATATGATCTGCTTTATAGAAAGCTTCATGGAATACTGAGAAAAATGAGTATTCTTCAGTGTCTTGATGGAATGCTCTCTATGTAGACGTCTGGGTTCGATTCAACCCAGGGTGCCATTGAGTAGGATGGTTTTCTGTATTCCTGTTGGAATGATCTGCCTGTTGGTGAGAATATATTAAAATCATCCACTAGCACTATGCTGGGATTAATCTAGAAGTTTATAAATAGTAATTTGATAAAACTGGATGTTCCTGAAGTTGGTGTGCATTGAGGGGACCGTAAGAAGCCCCCAGTGTGTGGAATCCTGAATGAATGCGTGTTGTTGATATGCGATGCCTATATCAAAGATCCAGCCTCATGGAAAAATGGCAAAGCCTTCTCCTCAGGGTCAGGCTTAGACAGATGGCAAGCCTTCCATGTGCTGTGTCAGTGTGTGTGTTTAAAATGTTAATGTCTCTGCTGGGTGTGGTGGTGCACGCCTTTAATCACAGCACTTGAGGCAGAGGCAGGAGAGGCAGAGGCAGAGACTGCAGAGGCAGGCAGAATTCTGTGAGTTTGAGGCTAGCCTGGTTTGCAAAGAGAGTTCCAGAACAACCATGGCTATACAGAGAAACACTGTCTCAAACCAACCAAACAAACAAAACAACAACAACAACAACAACAACAAAACCACCCAAACCAATCAACTAAACAAACATAAAAACCAAAAGAGTTTTAATGTCTCATTGATGGATTGTTCCTTTAGTCAGTATAAAGTGTCTTGTTCTTGTTTTTAATCTTGTCTGACCAGCTTTGGTTTGGAATCTATCTAACTGTAATATTGTAGATCCTGCTTGTTCCATTGCCCTGAAATAATTTTTTCCATCCTTTTACCCTAAGGTGGTATCTCTTTTTGATCATAACAATTGAATGGATCCTGTTTCTAGACATAATGTGTAGTAGTCCTTGTCTTTTATCTTGAGAACTGAGATTACTCATATTCACAGTTATTGAGAAACCTGTTCCTTCCTATTGTTTCACTGAGTTTGTAGTGTCTGGTGTTTGTTTTCCCAATCCTCATTCACTTAACTATTGCCCCAACATATTTCATTCCTTTTTCTCCTCTCTTGGATGTATTCTTTTTCTCTTTAGTTTCAAGAATTACTCTTATTCTCTATGGAGCTAGTTTAGTTATCTTCAATTATCTTAGCCTTCTCTTTTCATGGTTAAAAAGTTAGTTTCTTCTCCTTCTCAATTATGACAGATAATTTTGTTGAGTAAAATAGTCTGGGTTGGCAACTGTGTCCTATTAGAGCATATACCATTCCAAATAAGTATCACTTTAAAGATACTATTGAAAATATGCAGTCATTTTTTTTTCTGCTATCATTCTGATATGCTTGCTTTTATATGTAGCTGGGTGCTTCTCTCTTGGGCCCTTTTCTTGGGAAGATGAATGGGAGAGCCCATGCTTCTTCATCTGGCTGGACAGTTTTCTTTAGAGATACATGGTTATGAATAATAACCTGTTTTACTTGTTTATTCCCTCTTAAATCCCCTTGCTTCCTTTGTTCCCTGAACAACTATTGGCTTAAAGCCTTAAAGGAGATGAGGACCAAATCCTTGAGACCTTTCTGAGCTGATTGGCCTATCATGTTCCCTCATCAACACCATCTTACAGTAAGAAGGCTTCCAAGCTTCTCAATGGAAGCAACATTGGTGCTAATCAGTAATCTTCATTTATTATTTGAGAGCCACTGGGGCCCAACCCCCTCTAGTCTCACATGTTGGACTTCCTAAGCCAAATAGTCACACTATGAGTCATATCCTGCTACAACCAAGGAATATAAGGAAAGTTCCCTACTCTGAGAGGCTAGCCCTCATGGCTTTTATAAGCCATCTGTGCAGAAATTTACAGAGGAATTACTTTCCTTTGGGAAACAAAGATACCAGAGATATCTTGGATAAAAGTAGAAGTAGCAAGGTCTGGGATGGTGAGCAATGGATATGCACAGGACTACTAACCCCGGGGGAACATACCAGAACATGTCAACTCTCCACCTTCTAGACTGGAGGTGACCCTTTATCAAGAGGACTGAGTCTGTGGAATAGGATTGGGCTACCTTATGCCACTCTCCCATTCTGCTTTTGTTTACAGATGGGAATACCATTCACAATTTCTTCTGGTACCCACTATCCTGCCTCCTGAATAACTGAGATACATTGGAACCGCAGAGACTCAGGAAAAAAGGCCTTATATTCTATTCAACTAAGATAAAACATGCTCACAAGAGAGCAGCCTTGACTATAACATCATTCCTCAGATTTATTCTATGGGCAGGAAGGAAAATGGGCTGAGATTATGTATTTCTAACTTACCTTTTATCTAAAGGACAAATGGATTCAATTGTGTAAGATGAATCTTATTTAAGTAGTCTTATGTGTTAAAATCAGATAAAGCCAGTGTATGGAGGAACCTTTGGCAGGGGTGACACTCTTTTATAAGAAACTGTCTGCTCTCCTGAGCAGGCCTCCTTCAGGGACGCTGTCTCTACAGATCCTTCAAGTCTCTATAAAGAGCACCTCTCTCTCTTCCTAGCACCCATCTAACGAGGAGATACAGCATCCCACGAGAGATCCCTTTCTCCTACCCAGGAGATGCAGTATTGTTGTTTGCCCTTGGTGGAACCCAAAGTTAACCCTACAGTGTCTTTGTCGCTGTTCTATTGCTGTGAAGAGACAACATGACCAAAGCAACTCTTATAAAACAGGACATCTAATTAGGGGCTTGCTTATAGTTTCAGAGGTGTAGTCCATTATCATCATGGCGGGTGCATGGTATTGAAGCAGAAGCTGAGAGCTACATCCTGATTCACAGGCTGAAAGAGAGAGAACCGGGCCTGACCACTTCTCCTAATCCTTCTATTCCTATTAAAGAGTTCCACTCTCTGGAGATTAAGCACTCAGATATATGAACTATGGAAGCCACCTAGAGAAATACAGGCTAAGCTTTACAATGGTCGCCATTTGTGGTATCTGATAGCAAAGACTTTACTTTTAATTTTATCTCTAAATCGTTTTAATATATAAATGTGAGATTGTAGTTGACTTTCATTGAGAACATGCTTCAAGCAAAGTGAGCATGTTTTCAAAAGTTTGACAATTCAAGAGTAAATACTGTCCTCATATATTCATAAAGATTAGTCTAAATGTTGTATCAAGTTCAAAACTTAGAACTTGATGAACCTTTCAAAGACTATTCTAAACCAGAGAGGATTTAGACTAGCCAATAGACACAGAACACGTTGCTAAAATTAAGTGTAGCCACAGCACATTTTTATGCAACTGTGTTTTAATTCCAAGTTGATGACAGTGACTCACAAGTACACTGTTGGGTATTTTGGATATGTACACAGAAGAAGCACAGCTCTCTCCACAGCAGACCCGCAGAGCCATTGATCATGGCTTCGTGCTCTCTGGGTCTCACTGTCTCTCTGCTGCAAGACCTCAGTGACTTTCACCACACCACTTTCCTCTTGTTATTAAAAGTTTGAGTGCAATTCATCATGCCCCAACATGAGTGGGCAACAACCAGATGCCCCCAGCAAATGCTTCTGGCTTCTCCGTCTAAGTTGGTTTTCCTGGGTGGTTTCTGCAGGATTTGCTCCATCTTCACTCCGGGTAGGTGAAGGACCCACCCAATGAAGGGCAGTGTGTGGGGAAGGTGTGCTGGCAAGCTATCCCTTTCCCCCATGTCCTCGGAGGCCACATCAGGCCTTGGGCTTTCTTGTAGCACCCCACAGTTGCTGTTTACATAGTTCTACATAGCATCTTCATAGTCCATGTACGCAATGTTTATCCTTGGCTTAGAGTAGATTCCAGAAGGGACCTGGAAGGACCAAAGAAGAGAAGACAGAAGGACACATCTGCCACTGGGCCTCTTTCTAGTCAGGCTGACTGCATTTTGTCTTGTGTACACACAGCACCTTAAAAGGAGCCTTTTGGAAGCCTGTGGCCTCTGCCAGCATTGTCAAAAGAGCCTGTGACTCTAGAATATTCCAGAGGTGTTCCTGCTGAGCAATTCTATGGGCAGTCATTGTTCAAAGATGTCAGAATGAATTAAACTGAGTGTGTTCCCAGAGTCCACTGAGAACTCGAGTTCTGCTCAAGACCAATTGCAAAGCACTGAGTGATATATGATCGAGCAAAGCCGGAATACCCATAGTTCTCAGAAGGTACCTTTGTAGCATCATGGGTGTCCTTTAGGATGTTTTAAAATTGTGCAGATATATGTTTATATGTGAGTATGTGCACATGAGTGCAGGTGCCCATGGGGAGCAGAAGAAGCCATTGGATCCCCTGAAGCTGGAGATATGGCTGGTTTCGAGCTGCCCAGTGTAGGTGCTGAGAACTGAATTCTGGCCTTCTATAAGAGCAGTAAGGCTCTTAACTGTTGATATCTCTCCACGGATATCTTGAATTATCCAGGAGTTATGAATTAGGACTTTTTCATTAAAAAAGTCGTTACAGTTTTATTCAGTATTAATTTAGTTCCTTCCTTATTGCTAACCATACAGCACTAGCTGATGTCTGTACAGTTCAATAGTATTTTAGGATAAAGATTTTCAAATAAATAGAATGTTAAAAATAAGTATAAACCACGATTGAAATACACATTGCTCTGGGAAATGTACCCAAAAGCATCTAAAATTCCCTCATGCCGTGCGTCTTTATTGTTGAAACGAAATGCTTTCTATCTCTACTGTGCTGACAGATAAAGAATATTGATATGTGTCCTTTCCTAAGCAGCTATACTGTGAGGGTTATTAGGATGATCTCCAGAGGAAACAGAGAAAGCCAGGAGGACAGTGACAACTGCTTACCTCACTTGCCCGGTGTGTCCTCATGTGCTGAGCTGTGGAGGGACAAGTACGTGGTGAGATTCCACTCATGTTTAGCCTTTTACGATCTTCCGTTAATTAAGGTTGTTCTTCTCCTCCCTGTTTTCTACAGATTGATGTCCAGCAGTGTTTCCTATCCTCCTTTCTATCCCATGAGCAAATAGTCTTAGTGTCCACAGAATGGGCTGCCTGGGATCAGTGGGCAAGTCGGCCCTTTTGCCACTAGAGACACTTCGATACCTCTCTCCTTCTCAAGGCCTGCCATGTGGAGGGTGGAACAAGAGCTGCAGCTATGGTGAAGCACTGAAGGAGAGTGTGGGGCTGCTAAGAGGGCGGGCCGCCACCATCTTTGGGTTGCCATTAAAAACAGGCCGTGTGAACCACGCACTCGGCTATCCTAACAACAACACCAGGATCTACTTGACACAACTTCCAGAACAAAGGTCAGTTTTCAAGTAACTACAGTCAGCCCTAAGGACAAATGTTGCAGAGCAGAGCTACTGATTGTCCTCTTGGTTCTGGCACAGACAAGAGTCAGAGAAAAATTCATCCCATTCCATGTCTCACCCGCTGCTGGTTCCAGCTCCTGCTGGGTGTGATACACCAGAGAGTAAACTTCGTCGCCACTTACAACATTCACTGAAACAAGAAAGGAGACATATTGGCACAGTTCTTTCCTCCTGTTCTTGCACTGACTCCCCATCTACTTCCTACAAGGTCGCAGCAGAATCGACTTCGGCAGGCAGGCAACACCCTGTATCCTCCCACTCCAGCTTGTTGTGCTGTGTTGTGCTGTGTTGGATCTTTGGGAAGCCTCACCGTTCTCATACACGGGCTCTGGCTGTCTTGGGTCGGGGGAGTAGGGGTAGGTGGATTCTTGGAGCACAGGCTGAGGAGGGCTCCTGCAAACACAAAACACACAGCGTCCCAGATGTCCCACGTGTGATCGTTTGAGATTTAAAGTGTGAAGGGTCAGCTGGAAGGTACTCTGCGGTATAAGCAGAACCCTCACTCGTAGATGGACTGGGGCTCTGTGGTGCCGCACATGTCCCACAGGAACAGGGTGTTTTGCTAACTTATTCTCTGATATCACCCACGCATCTAGCTGTTACCATGTAGGGGTCTGGGTCGTATTCATTTTCTCTGTTAGTAAAAGAATTTGAAAGCAGGAAGAATACTGCGTGCAACTGATAGCAGCAGAGAAATTGTGACCACGGCAGACGGCGGAAGACAGTGAGACAGTACCAGCAGTAGAAGAAAAGCTTTTTACTACGGGTGAGCAAACACACACATAAAGCAGGCACACAGAGGAAAACCCTCAGCAAGGCAAGGGGATGGCCAGTCTTGAAAAGCTGAAGTCCAACTTCTGTTTGAGGGCTCCTTTTGTTGTTGTTGTTGTTTCTAAGTCATTGAAGGATCTTCCTCCCCTAATCTGGGGCTGATCAATTGAAAAAAGAACAAAAGGTTGACTGGCCCACAACTGCTGTGTAAATGTGTCCTGATAAGATCTTGAACTTGGAAGCTGGAGAGATGGCTCAGCAGTTAAGAGCACTGACTATTCGTCAAAATAACCTGGGTTCAATTTCTAGCACCTACATGGTAGCTTAGCTCACAACCATATGTAACTCCAAACCCAGGGAATCCCACACCCTCCTCCACGGGCAATGCACATACATGATACACAGTCAAAACAGGCAAAGCATCTATACACATAGAAATAAATAAATATTTTTTTCAAAAACGAAGACTTTGAACTTACTGAGCTAGTCTATCATCACGGCACTACTGGAAGGAGAAAAATCCCATATGGTCTTTGTTTTAAGCTTCCAGGCTTTTGTCCTAGGCCAGGAGGGTAGTGAAGAAGCTGGCATCTTGGAAGTTCACCTTCTTCATTACCTAGTCATGATCCCTCTCCCTACCTGTCTCCTATCAGGGAGTCTCACTCCTAGTCCCTTAGAACAGTGCAGGATACTAAGTAAAGAAACACTGAGTCATCTCAGTTAAAAATGGAGAGTTGACTAGAGCAAGCAACTTGAGGAAGGAGCAAAAGAAAATGGCCGTGCACATGCGACACCACCGGGATATGGAGCAAGTGTTTATTGTTGATGTGGAAGATACTCAAACTAAATTTAGAGGCTGAAAGTATTTTAAAACTTGTTTCCTCCTCTAAGCCCCAACAATGTTTTCAGGGTGTTTATTACTGATGTCCTACATTTCACAGAGACATGGCACATACAACCTACCTGTCCTAAAATCCTTCTAGAATCTCAGGATCTTTCCACTTACTCAAAGCTCTCTGCTGTAAGCAGGCTGTCTGCATGAATAAACCAGTGACAAGACCAAAAGAAATCAAAGGAAGAACACCGCAGAGGCATCGAAAGCCGTAGAGAGCATGGCAAAATGGTTTAAAGTAATTAGTAAACGAGAAATGGCAAATTAATGCTCAAAGTTGCCAATGGGGGAAACTCAGGTGTGAGTTTTAGTTGTGGTAAAACAGGGGAGTAGCTCACAAGAGAGGACATCAAGGTTTTAAAAGTAAGTTTTCAAGGTACCCGAAGGCACCATGCAAGCTCATGAGAAGGGAAGCAACCAACAGACCTGCTCAACTGTGACACCTATGAATCACAACCACCACCAGTGTGGCATGACCCCCTAAGGGTGCAGTAGTGGCGCCTTGTACTCAGGGCTAGTGATGTCATCAGTCTCAGAGGAGACTGCACAACCACCAGTTTACTAAACCAGCATGATTTCTAACTACATCTCAAATATTTGTCCTTACACCCACAGATAAGTGTAGTCCTCACCCCTCCTCAAGGAAGCGTCTCTGCAACTGACAGAGACCACTACAGAAGCCACACACAACCAATTAAAACGCACAGTTGTGAAGCCTGTGCCCAGTGCATGCATCTACAAAACGCCTCCACACCAAAGGCTCAGGGGACATCGCGGAAGAGGGGGAGGAAAGACTGTAAAAGCCAAAAGATCTGAAGTTGGCTGTGAGACTGTGTCTTCTAGTCATGTCCGAAGCTACCGCCTAAAAGTCTCACCAACATGATTTTTAAAACAATGATGACATAAATAGACATATTAAAGAGGGCACGGGAAAGTCTGTGCACAAGGAGCTCCAGGCAACTAAGGAAGAGAGAGAGAGAGAGGGGGGGGGAGAGAGAGAGAGAGAGAGAGATTGATTATTCAGGGAAGAGACACCAGTAGGTTATCCAATACCAAATGGTCAGCCCTGGAAACAAGCACACAGGCAATATATAAATTGGGTAGGTGGTATTTAGGTTTAGAAGTGTGTGTGTGTGTGTGTGTAACAGCAATAGAAAAAGGAGGCCAAGAATTTGAAAAAGAGCAGGGAAGGGAATATGGGAGTATTTGGAGGGAGGAAAGGAATTGCTATAATCATATTACATGCTCAAAAAATAATTTTTAAATGGTAGATTTTTTGGCATCATCAGCACATAGGAGAAAGCAGAACCCTTACCTGAGTGGATCTTCTGACTTTCTTCCTGCAAGGCAGAAAAGTGAGAGTACTGTATCAGTGTGTGTGTGGGGGTGTCTTTCACTGCCCTCCTGTCTTGATGGTGCTCAGTTTGGATGGCATTATGTCCCCAGGGGGCACTTATAGTGTCTTCATGTCACAATTAAGGTAATTCAGGTCCAGAGGAGTTAAGTCAACTTCCCAAAGCCCATAGCACCAGAAAGTTACAGAAGGGATGAAGCAAGGTGTCCGCAGATGTTCAAATGATAGCTGCACACAGCCACCTACTGACACAACTTCAGCTTGCTCAGTGGAGAATAGGTTAAAGGTAACTACATATTAAATTATGGATAACTTAAAATTGAAAATGGAGAGCAATCATTGGCTATATTACCAAGTGAGACCTCCAGGAGGGGAAAAAATAATATTTCACCCAAAAAGTGGGAAAGATCCAGGAATGGCCAGAGCCTGTAGGAATGTGAATTGTATTTCAAGGAGAAGGAAAAGCACATGACAGTGCCCTTGGGTAAGACTGCTGCACTGACATCAGGACGGGAGCTGCACTGGGGTGAGCAGCCAAGTGTTCCTCTTCCCTAGTTGCTGACTGGATTTAAAAAATAGTTACATTTTTTTTGTAAAAGTCAAATCACAGAAGAAAAAAATACCAGCTGGCAAAAAATGAAAACATGAATAACTTTCCTAAAATTGGTGCTTTCACGGGCTGTAAAAGTTTGTGAGAAGACCCAGAGGCAAGATAGCTAGGGTGTATACTTCACTGCACAGGCTGTGTGCTACAGATGCAGTCTGTGTCAGACGAAAAAAGGTTATAGTAGCAAAATATGAATACAGCCAGTTACTAACCTATTTTTCTCTTGAGCCAGTAGCAAACTATTAGGGCCATAATGATGGGGCCAAGACAGCCAAGCAGCCACACAGTGAGTCCTGAAGAGAGATGACTGAGTCCTTTCTCAGTGGGCACTAAGGAGAGACCTGTGCACAAGCTACTGTAAGGAAGGGATTGGGTTTGGAGAACAGACGTCTCATGTGTAGATTATGTTCAGGGGTTGCTCCTCGTGTGTGTGAGGAGGTGTCCTTATTTATCTAGAGAACTTCTGCTTCTTACACTTATGAAAGAGGATAGACATTCAGGCTCCGTTCTCCACACCTGTCATGTATATCACCCCAGACATCATCATGTACAGAAGCCCCGCCCCTGGTAACACCCCCTGGAAACCCTGAAGCTCTCCCAAGATGCTGGGGAAGAGACACTGACCTTGAGAGTCCCAAGCCTGACAGATACCTGTTAAGTTGAGAGCCACCACCTCACTTCGTTGGGCACCCTGGCCATTGCTGGCTTCACAGGAGAAGTTTCCAGAATGTTCTGCAGTCAGGGAGAAGCTGAAGGATGCTCCTCCACCAGAGGGGGCTAAACTATTCCCCAGAATGATGTTCTCATGGTAAAACTGGTAGAAGATTGGGGGTGAACCTCTCAGGGCCTTACAGTGAAGCTCCACCAGGTCTCCCAGCACAGCCTGGGTTCCAGAGTCCCCAAACGTAAGGACAGGGCGAGATACTGGAACTAATCAACAGTGGACAATTAGAGAAAGGTACCTTGATAATGTAACAGACCCATGTTTTCTGCCTGTTCTCTGGAGGTTCAACCCCGCTGAGGGTCCTGAAGGCAGCTCGGGGAGTGTGGAGCTTAGGTGAGACTTGTCTGGGATGTGGTATTTGCGTTACTTACCTCTGACACTGACGTTCACCAGCTCACTGGGAATGTGACCATGGCCGTTGCTAGCCGCACAGTAATATTGATCAGCATCGCTTTGCTTCACCTCACTGATCTCAAACTCTGCTGTTAGTGAAGGCTGTGTCTTTGTTTCCAGATTTAAACCCAGGGCCCCTCTGTACCAGAGGTAAGTTATATTTCCTGTGGCACTCTCAACTGAGCAGATGAGGACCAGCTTGTTTCCCTCCATCACCCATCCTCCCGGGGGCCGTGTCTTCAAGCTCACATCAGAGACTGGGATTCCTGTGGGAACACCAGACAATGAGGAGGACTCTGAGCAGGGAGTGTTTCAGAGAGAAGGAGTAGGTGTGGTGGTTCTGAGAGCCAAGGCTGCTGGCAAAGTCAATGATTCTTATCGTGTAAGTAGGGGCTGGTGTTCTGTTGAAATCATCTTAGGTTTGGTTGATAGTCTCGGGGACATCTCCCACCCTACAATGACATAACTTCTACTCAGCAGAGGGCTAAGACACGGATCTAGAGATAGGACATAAACACAAACTCCAGGCAGTATTCCTCATTAGACATCTTTTGTGTTTTCAGCCTGTAGGACCTATAGCATCTCCTACAACCTCCCTCATAGGCACGAGTTTCCTTTTGCTGTGAACCTGCCCTGGTCCTGATACATCCTAACTTATGTGTTGGAATCAGCTTCCAGAAGGCAATCTTCACCTGTGGCTTAGATCTCGTTACCTTAATTTTAAAAAATTTCTGGCATAATTTTTAAAGTTATTCCACTGTAGGTATATTGAAGACTGTCACAAGGTATGGTGGAGCTTGATGTTTTTGTAAACTGTCTCTGTCTCTCTCCTTTCTCCTTCTCCCTCCCT